AGGCGTCTGATGTGAGGTAATGACCAATTGCATCACTTTGACAAACCCACCGTCGATGAGAACTAGGGCAGAAGGCGATCGCTTTTTGCAGCAGTGTTTCATTACAATTTGAAACACTGCTGCTAAGTGCATTAAATGATGCTGATTAGCTAAGATTATAGCTGCAGCAGGGATGTGATTTCTGTTTTGATACGGAGCATAAATTGAGGCAGAGCAAACAGTCTTTTTTTTTTTTTTTGAGTGGCTGATGAATAATTGAACGTCAGCAGAGGGTACATCAATAAAGTGGTAATGAAGCATATTTGTGCGAAATGTCTAATTCTCAAACTCATGGAGCGGTCTAAAACATCTGCTGTTGTGATGAGGCTTACTGTATGTGCATTTGATTCATATTAAATGTCAACTTTTCAACTGTGTTCACAAATAATTCAAAAAATAAAAATAAAAATACAGCAAATCACAAATTCTTATTATTATTACGATTATTGTTATTATTTGTATTATTGTTTATATTATTATTATTACTATGATTGCTAATGCTATCATTATTATTATATTTTGTATTATTGTTGTTATTATTATTATTATTAGTAGTAGTAGTAGTAGTAATTGTCATAGACAGCTATTTCAACTAAAATATCATATTTTTTAACCCTAATCCTCTGGCTCGTGGCCAAGGTTAGAACACAATTACAAAATGCACTAAACAGTAAATACACAAAGCACTTTCAAATCCGCTGTGCTGATGATGATTTAATGATATTAATATGATAACTTTGTCTATATAGCACGAACAGCAGTCTTTCCAAAACTGAGGCTTTGGTGCCCTCTGTCTTTAAGTCAAGGTGGCAAGAAAAACACTCTTCATTAAATGCAAACTGATCAACTGTTTCTTGGTAATTTCATTCATTTGGAATCATATTATATGACATATAGCCATAATAAATCTATGGCGGACAGGAGAGGAGTAGATTATTCTGCCAACAGAGATTTATGTATAACCTGATGCTCATAGTGAAGCTGAATAATGGCTTTGGTTTTTTTTATTTACAGCCGTGTCGACAGGTCACTGTCTTTGGAGTAAAACTGTTCCTTTGTTCTGCCTTTTTCTAACACAGTTGTGGCATGTTGTGTCCACCTGGAGTACTGTTGACCTTCTGCGAGGCAGCTACCTGGTTAAAGAAGTCCATTTTCAAGGCTGTTCTTGCTCAAATCAAAACTCCATTATAGATTTTACCTCCAGGGGAACCTAGGGCTCACAAGGTCCTTGGCAATTTTACCTGAGGAAGAAGCTAAAAGGATTTGAATCTCCCAGGATGGGTGAAGAGAGGGAGGGTGTGAGGACCATGAGAGAAGGTGGGATACGCACCCCAGGACCCGAGCCCCTAATCTCTCTCTGCCAAGCAGGGAGCGAAGCCGAGCGAAAAAGATGGAGATTGGGAGATGGTTCAGTGGCACTGAACCCTAAACATCAGGGCCTGCAGAAGTGGTGGAGGAGGCAGGGAAACCTTGGAAAAACAAGGCGTGGAAAAGAAGTGCTGGGAGATTGTTGTGGAGGGTATTGCCAGGGGAGCTGGTCTCAGCTCCCAGAAACAAGAGCTTCCAATGCATTTAACATATACGAAAGCTCCCTCCTCACACCAATCCTTAACTATTTGTACTAACAAGACAGATGGAGGCCAAAGATGCAGACAGATCACATCAGGACATCTGTCACTTCGTGGCAACAGCCTCCTTAATAAGTGACAAGGCTTCCTCACCCGGGGGGGGGGGGGTGTGAGTGTCTCCCGGAGCATTGGCTGTGCAAAAGCAGCCGTCAAAGTCATGTGGTGCCCCCCTTTTTTTTTTCTTCTTCTTCTTCTTCTTCTTCTTCTTCTTCTTCTTCTTCTTCTTCTTCTTCTTCTTCTTCTTCTTCTTCTTCTTCTTCTTCTTCTTCTCCTTTTTTTTAAACAACTTGTCCCAATTACGGCCTATCACATGCGATCTGTGCCCTTGATTATCATCCCGGCCAGTAGACATCAAAGCTGCCGTCTATGGGTGCTGACACGAGGCTGTGCAGTAATTAGTGGACTGAAGAGAGTTTCATCACCAAATGTTTTCAAAATACTGGATGTCTTAATTTGCAGCAGGGGGGGAGGGGTTCATGTCGGAGAGAATGATGCCCTACAGAAATAATTAAAACATAATTACAGCTCATCAGCTGTGCAAGTGCTCACAAAGTGCTGTCGCTGAAGATCTGCCGCTTTCCTCGGGGCATCAGCGGAGTAGCAAGCCACATGCAGATCCCAAATTCGCAGCACAGCCATACCAAATAAACGCTTACGCCTTATTACCAGAGATACCAGGAAGAGATTAGATTGGCAACAACAGGCCCGATTCAAAGGAATCTCTCTCGACGCTAAACCGCTACGTACGAGTGCTTATTATCCTCGATAAACACCTGCGTTTGTTTGGAATGTTGTCTGCCAAGGACAAACCAGGCATCAAACCGGGGAATGCACAGCAGGTCGTTAAAGCAATGACTTGTCTCCACGGCTGATGTGTCAGACTGCATGCTCTGTAACACAAGAGACACACAGATTGAGGAGCCAGTCAACCTTTTCTAAATTGACGTCACGATTGCTCGGTGCAGGTTTGCGGTTTTGGCTGACGGCCATTTGGTTCCATGATGACCACTTGATACAAATATGGCCGCCGGTGCAGTCCTGCAAAGGGGAGAGAGAGAGAGAGCGCACGCTAAGTGTTTGTGGCGAGTGCTAAGGCCGCCGCTTGATTCCAAGAAGGCTGCACTGTGGGCGGTGTGTTTTTCTTCATCCACCTGATGGCGGACTTCTAACAACTCCAGTGTCAGGCCGGCTTAAAGTCACACGCCCTCCCTCTGCTGCTCGGCCAGAGTTATCACATGTGTTTATTCCCCCCAGTGCAGAGTCGGGGAGCCGAATGGCACAATCGTCACAATCAAAGTCTGGCTTGAGGATGTTTGCCCTGTATGTAGCTCAGAAAACATTTGTGTACGAGGCGGTTTGTGACGAGTTGGGAGTGAGGATGTGTTGCAAGAACATATAGGCTAAAAGCATGTTAGGCTAAAATAGAATGCCCGTGAGGTAAAACACATAAATCACAATAAATGACAGCATTGTAACACTGTATTCAAAAGGCAAACACATTTAAATGGAGGCTGGAGTGTGCCATAGGATTGTTTATAATACATATAGCATTCATTTGTATTGATGCTATTGTTTTAACAGTATGAACACTTCATAAAGAGTTTATAACACACTACAATAGTTGTAAGCAGATATAAAAGCGTTTTCTGACAGACATTTATGAACTATACACATCCCTCAGGTTTAAAACTGTTTTTAAACGTGTTCAAAATGCAATCTAATATCTAATTATAGATAATTAAAACCATGATATGTAGCAGTTCATACAGCAGTTAATAAGAGAAGTTGCTGACAAATATAATATTAAACATGCTACTGCATTCTATTCTGCTATAAACTATTTTTATTTATAGTGGTTGATTGTAATTGGTTAAGTGATTAACACATTTTAAAAATATATATTTTATGGCATTCTTTACCTCCCATACTTTAACCTGTTGTACAGGACCACAATTAGTGTACCATACTGACAGAAACAACTACTTGAAAAGACAGTTTTCAACAAGAGGTAATGCCCAATGTGCATGCATTTCAATACCTTGAGATCACCAACTTCACATAAAATCGATGTGAAGTTTAAGGTCTCCGGTTTACCGACTTGCATGTGTTTGGACTGCTGGAGTAAGATTGCAAGCCTCTTGCATGGTGTTACAGTACAGTTGTAGTGTATTATGTTAACCATGTCAGATTACCATGTTTGTACTGATATGTGATTTGCAATGTGATTTAAAAAATGTTCTTAATATTTTAGAGTCAGCTGATATTGAATCAAGTAAATTATTGTTTGCAATTTACGGTGGATCTGGAATCTCTAAATGCATAGGTATGATGTTTGTGTGAGTAGCACAGTCTTTTTCTTTTAACTGTGCATTAAAATACCCACAAATCCCCTCTTATTAATCTCACTTAGTTAACTACGATTCAAAGCAGCAGCAAAAATGATTCCATTATGAAATGTAGTAACTATCTATATCCACCAGAGGACAACATGATCTAAGAAATGATTTCAGTTAGACATAAAGACCCTCAATTGTCACATCCACAGCTTCTCATAATAACATCAAGTTTAGAGGAACCTCTGGGAAAATTCCTGCTGCAATTTTTCCTGAGTTTGAGTCACAGATTTTAACCCCAACTAGTGATGGAAGTTAGTGGGATACAGCGTGTGAAATTGTAGGAAAATGGTCACATCTGAATCACAAGCACTGAACAGCCAAAAAATGTTATGTGCTTGTACATTTGTTTGGAGCTCTGTATCTTAAAAACAAACAAAGAAAATCAAAATTATAGTCACAAAAACTATTTATAGTAATAATTTATTCCAGTGAAATTTGTTGATCTCCCTGAATGATCATATACTCGCAACTCGTCCCCACACACAGATCGCCCCGCATAATCGGTAAGAAAGTGAATTGAATATATTTTGTGAAAGTCAACACAGTCATCATACACATATGTGCCAAAAGAGATGCTGTCATTCGCAAGTATTATATAGAACGAGAAAGGCGCACTCAGTAAAGTGCAGATCTCCACCAACGACCGCTGCTGTAACGTGTGAATGAATGAATATAACCCACAACTGACTGTGCCTGATTACACAGTGTTCTTAAACAGTCGTCATATGCTAAGTGAGGAGAACATATTGTACGCTGTTGTTTAACAATGAATAAATTAATTTAAAAAAATTATTTGATAAGGTTTTAATTCAGGCATCAAGGTTCAACTCTGCAATCATTTAGAATAATTCTAAATATGTTTCTTTGGTGCGAAACCACCTTTGCAGAGAAATTTGGGCTTAATTTTCTAGTTTTGAGTAATAGTAATAACAGTGTAATAAGTCATTCTTTTTATTCATGTAGCACATTTTAAAACCAGGTTTACAAAGTGCTGTGCAGCGAGAAGAACAGATAATAGACAATAAGATCATAAATACATACAAAGAACACACAAAATACATGTTAAATACACTGTTTACAAGAATGAAACGTAGTTAAAAGCGATTCCACCCAGGCAAAAACATCATTTTTCACAATGGACTATTCAATTTTGAGATTTTGGGTTATATGGCTTCTATAACATATCTTATTTTCAGACAAGAATATTTTTTTTAAAAACATACCTAGTACACATGTAGGTATTCATTTAACTACTTTGTATACCACCACTTGGTATCTGTGTATTTCTCTTCAATTCATCAAACGTTACAATTCGATAATGCCTCATTTGTATATTTAAACATAACATTTAAAAACAATTTGTAATACAAAAAAAGAAATACACTCTTTATATCAGTAATCAGCTGGTGAAGTTTCATAGAGACATCTATTCAAATGTTTCATCTATTCCCCCGGGGCGTCTCCCCTTATGCGTTAGCAAAAAGTACAACGAATGAAAAACTTCATTGGGGGGTGTTGGCTGTACTGCCTACTCCTTTGAAGAAAACAAATCAACTATCAAAAATAATGGCGCGATTCAAGACTTTTCAACAAGTAGAGAAAAGGATCAGACGGGAGCCGTCATCATTGTGGTGCGTTAAATATATTACAAGTATATTCAAATTGGAATGAATGAGGATCATGATACTAGGTCATACAAACACAGTTCTTCACTTTGTTTGTGCAGCATATGTCACTGTTTGTGGTCTATACTGTAGTGGTAGTGTAAAAGAGCCAGTCTTCTCCTTGGAAGCTGTACTGTAGTAGTAGTAATAATCTTAATTTAAGGTTCCATCTTTCTGGAGCATACAAACCACCCTCTTTGCTGTCTTCCTCAGCGGAGAGTTTGCTCTCCGTTGTCAGTTTGCCTGTATACGGCCATACAGGAGAAGCTGGCAATTAGACCTTAAATTGATTATTTTTTTCTAAAAGGGTCAATTCACCCAAATAACAAAAAAGAAAACACATATTTGCTCACTTATTATTGTCTATCCAGTTTGTGTTTTATTAGTTGAAGTTTTGAGATATCCATACCTGAGATGTCTGCCTCCATCCCAATACAGTGAGAGGGGAATGGAACGTCTCCTTCCAGAAGCAATGTCCCAGGCACTCTGGATAATCAACACACTTGCTGTAAACAAGTTTCACTAAGAACACTTCCTTGCTAAAAATGTAGGTGTAATAAAAAACTGCAAGGTCATATTCAGGGTAATTGGGACAATGTTACTGGAAAGACATGTCACAGTTGAATTTTTGTGGAATACAATATTCTATTGCCGTGAGCACCATGGATCAAATTCTATACCTACATCCATCTTATTTGAGGGGAGGCAGAGATTTCAAAACTATTTGCATACCATTAAAAGGAGAGTGTTACAATGTTTCTTTGTAATTTGAGTGAATGGGGCCTCTACATTGAGGTCAATCAAGTGTAGGCCTATCTAGTCCATGTGAGGAAAATAAATCAAAAAGATAAAAAAGGGGGATCGTTTTAAAATGATACAAATGTCCACTGTAGATATTTTTGCATAAGAAAGGTACAAAATATAAGCAGTGATTTAACTGCTACTATGTCCCTACATTAACTTAGAAAAAGAAAGAATATAAATATATATAGACATGACACAAGCCATGATCATTCAGCTAAATTGTATCCAGTGGTACCCTCCTTGTGTGTGCTGTGGTATGTTATAAGTTGCTAAAACATCATGAAGTGTACCAATACAGTACCCTGAACAACTTTTTCTAATGGCACGATAAAAATAAAATAAAAAGACTTCTAAGATGAAATGCCACGAAGGTTGTGACTACCGTCCATCACTTAGACACTTGCAACCGTTTGGAAAAGAAACACTAGATTCCTGATTGATGCTCTCTTTGACCTCCATGGGGAGCGAGTCAAACAGATGATCCTCCACTATCAGGCAGCCCCGGCGCAGGAGGCAGCACTGACTGAGCTGAGCCGGGAGACGATCCAGACAGTTGCCTTTCAGTTCCAGGTGGGTCAGCTGCGAGAGTTGGCCAATCTTCTCTGGAATGGAGGAGATACAGTTGTGGCCGAGACATAAGGTCCTCAGTTTGTTGCACTTGAGCAGTTGCTTAGGAACTACCTCGACTTTGTTGCCTGTAATGGCGAAATGTTGGAGGTTCTGCAGAAAGCCAGCCTCCGGCGGTATTACCACTATGGAGTTGTGGCTGACATCGAGGTACCTTAACTTGAGAAGGGTGAATAACGATGACGGTAGAGACTCCAGCTTGTTGTGTGAGAGATAGAGCGACTCGAGGCTTTTGACGTGGCTAATCGACAATGGAATGGTGATGATCTTGTTGTGCCAAAGTTTGAGGCACGACAGTCTCTTGAGGTGCTGGAAGCTGATGATCTCCTCTATTGTACGAATGTTGTTGGATTTCAGATCCAGTTCCTGAAGATTGTTCAAACTGAAAATAGCATGGGGGATGCGCTCCAGCTCACAGTTGAGAAGCTCCAGTTCGGCCAGATTCATTATTTTCTTCAAACTATTCAGAACTAGGAGCTTCGTACCGTCGTTATGAATGACCAACTTGATGAGATGCGGAGACAGATCCGTTATGTTTGTCGGGATCTTTGTGAGGTTGCTTTTGAGGTGCAGAATGTTCAAGTGCCTGAGGTCTCGCAGAGACTCGAGTCCGATCATTTTGTTGTTTTCAGAGTTCAGGTTACCAACCAAGTACAGTTCCCTTAAATTCTTCAACAGGTATACCCAGCTAGGAATCTCAGCGACATCTGTAAATTTGACATGAAGGCACCGGAGGTGATCACGAAGAAAGATGAAAGCAGTCTGTTCAACTTTGGCCGGACAGTGATAGAAGTGCAGCTCCTGGAGGTTTATCATTTGTGAGATCTTAGCTGTTATTCTGGCCTCTGGGATTAATTCTAATTTAAGGATTTCCAGATCAGTGAGATCAAACACAGCATCTGGCACTCCGGAGAGCATAAAAAGATGGAGCTCCAACTTCTCTTGAAGATTGCGCGTCACATGCTGCCGCAACTTCTCAAAGGTCCACTCGTGGTTCAGGCTGATCTCCCGAAGTTTGTTCTCACTCACCTCAGAGAGAAACACGCCAAACCGCTTTGAATACAGCTGGTCGTACTGATCCACCATGTGGAGGAGGAACGCAAAGTCATTCTTAACATCTGGAATGTCACTGAAGCTGCTCTCCTCTCTGACTTTTTCAAAAGAATACTCCTTAAGAGGTCTCCGAAAAAGCCAGAACAGCGTGTATATACAGATTACGCCATAAACGCATATGAGAGCAATATAACTAACAAGGAGCTTCTTTATCATGAATGCCATGTTGTGCGTGCAATGGAACTTGCTGTATCCAGTCAAATGCTTTATTTCAGGCTCACACACGTGGTCGAAATCTATAGAGGCAACAAAAGTCATCGTGTAGCACAGGATCAATATGAATTTGACGGTTTTGATGACTGTCTGAATGGCATACAGCCTGTAAATCAAGTCACTGTCTTCCACGTGGGCACGGAATTTGCGAACTTTTTCAAACAGGGCTTTTGCTTGCTCGCCGTCTTTCTTGTCCAGTATGGTCATGGCGGGAACTTCACTCACGAGCTTCTCAGCAGAAAACGTGACCCCGGATTTTGTCAGCATTGGGGCGGACTGGTTTGGACTCCCCTCCTCGCTGCTTGTGGACAGATGCTTCAGGAGGGAGGAGGCACCAGCCAGTCTCAGCTTGTTCTCCTCCGAGTCCTCGCACGCTGTCTCGGACAGAGCTTTGGTAGTCCAAGGCGATTCAAAACATTTTCCCAGTATGGAAACAAAATGTTCGATTTTGGAACTTGTCTTTGGGTACTTGAACCAGAAGTTGCTACTGACCATTAATACAATAGTGTGGATTAGAGCGAGGTATGGGAAATATTTGGAATACCAAGGGAGGGCGACATGGTAGCACATCTGGTTGACAAAAACATACTGCTGAAAATCCAGCTTGGTCCTGACGCCTGTAGGCTGCGGCTGCCCAAAAGTACCCGATTGGGGGAAGGGAATTGTGGGGCCGATGCTATCAGGAGGCCTTTTAGCCATTAAAGGAGCGGCTTGCTCTCCAATGGCGCTTTCTTTGTTCCATAATCTATCAGCTGTCTCTGGTGGTTGGGGTCCTAAGAAGCCCCCAGCCCCCTCTGGAGTTTGCTCCAGAATGGGAAGACAAACCACTTGGTCTTTAGTTAACTGCATTGTTCCAGAAAATATGGCCAACATCAACATGACAATACCAAGATAATCCATGAAGACATCCCACCATGGTTTCAGTATTCGATACGTTGGCTGGATGTCATTCAGAGAGGCTACTTCTGTGAGGGTGAACATTCCTGCAACAGAAAATATGAATTAATAGCATGCTTGATTTCTCTCACTACAAAAGTATACATAATAAAAGATTCTCTTCAGTCGATTTGTTTTAGTAATTTCACATACTTTTGTTTGTAATTTGACAGTTGTACAGGTACTGCCGCCCTCGCAGAGAGTATAACTAATAAAGTGTTGTGGCTGCCTATTTAATATCTATAATCTCCATGTAGAAATTTGCCCTTGAATCGGTGACAAAGTGGTAAATATCATAAAACTTTACAGAATTGTCATTTTTGGGGGAAAAAGGTTTCAGTTTAGTGATGAATATATTCATATAAATATACTGTATTTATAAACGATTTTATGTGGTGATGAACACATCCAGGCTGCTAACACAACAGAGTTTATGTCTGGTCATAATCCTGTTTACATCCTGAAGTGACTTGTTTATTGGTCCTGTTCATGTGAGATACACTTACTGACCAGAAAAGAGAAACCAAAAAGAGAAAGGGTCTGTAATCCAATATGACAACCTCGTAATAAATTCATGCTTTTAAGACTCTCAAATTGTTCAAAGTGACAGAGAGGTGGTGATTACTATACTATGTTCTATTGGGGCACTCTGAACTCCAATGTGTTTCTAATATTTCATTTTCCACATTTTGTAGTAAGATGACATTAGCTGTATTTCACTGTAAAGGTGTTTCTTTTTTTCTGGTCACTTGTATATCACAATCAGAAGAAATTATACTTCCTGTGAGTAAGAATGAGCCAATGTGACACAGAGGTCTGGAAACAATCACTGGTTGTGTACAGTTTTAGCCAAGGCCACATTTTCCAGATAGAGAGAGAACAGATTGTTATGAATATATATATATATATATATATATATATATTTTCTCAAAAGACATGAAATAATCCCTATACCACTACGGCTTTGTCCATATTCTATTGTCTGTGTTGAAAGCATGAAGGTCAGAATTTGCAACGGGGCTGCCGAGCAGGGCGACACCGGCTACAGCAGCAAGACGCATCCACGGACACAAAACAAGAGGTGAACCTGATGTCCGTGAAGCCTTTAAACGCACCATTGATATCTGCGTTTCGCTAGAGAAAATCACGACGCGTTCACATTACATGGCTCATTTATATGGCCATAGCCAACCCCCCACGCTATATAACAGCTAACATAACAGGGCCAGAGCGCAGCGGTTACATTTGTAGACCTTGAACAACCTAAATGTGGAGCGGCACTCAAGACGCACAGATACGCACCTTCAGGAGGTCTGATCCAGTTATGTCGATGCCGGCAGTACAGAACAACGCCTCTTTCTATACGCCATGTTTCGCCGCAGTGATGAAGCCGTCCATTCCTTGCACCAGTTCAACCGTCGGCCTGCTGGCCGGGCTGTAAGCTGCTTAGCTGACTACCCCCCACCTCCGCTTCAGATGGTCGGGTCCTCTGCCTCCGACTGGCGACCCAGCGGCACGGCAGCACCAGCTGCTGCAAGTGTAGCCCGGACGGCTTGATTGTTATTCACACGCTGGCCGAGGTTGCTGCTCCTCGGTACGTTTCACCGGGACCATCAATTAGCGACAGTTCTGTTGTAATGTGCAGGATAAATATATCCTGATGTTGCACACGTGTTGTTGTTGTTTTTTTCCGCACCAGAAGCCGGTGAACACCATATAGCGTTTCCAAATACCTCGCACGGATTGACAGTAGCAGTGGAATGACCCTCTGACGTTAGGGACCGTCGTAAAAGTGCAAGGGGTGTAATTTAAAGTTATATCACAGCTTTTGTTTTGTTATTCCAAAAATACTTCACCAGAGGAAACACCTAAAATACTAGTAGATCAGTATGTTTAATAAAATGTAGTTACATTTATAAGGTAGAAAAGCCTTGTTTGTCAACAGAGACAGACAACTTTATTTCCATGCAGGTCTCATTTGTCTTTGCATGTTACAAGGGTAGTTATATGATCCAAACCTTTCTTTTTTGTTTTTGGTATATTTGCACACAATTCCCGCCTAAGGGACACCAGTAGTGTAATAGAAATGTTGACCAATGTGCGTCGGCCCTGTAAAAATAAATACAAATAAAATGAATTAATTAAGAATAATAAATTTCACATATTTTGCAGAGCCCAACTTCCCTAATAAGTTCAGTCATTATTTGCAAATATATATGTTCCCCTATTTTTACTTTCCTTCTTTGTATGCAATGTATTTGGTAAATACAGATTCAGTTTATATATTTATTCTAGTACTGGTCCTATTGCAGCCACAAGCTGTTTTCACATTTCGGCGGAAAAATTGTGCAATGACCTCCTCTATACCCCCCCCCCACCCCCACATAACTTTGAATTTGTTTTGTTCTAGACACTTCTAGACATCATTTGCGCATGATATTAGACTAATCTTCTTTGCCTTATTAATCCTCACCAGCAAGTAGCATCTAATCCCACAACACAATTGGGGGCAAGCAATGTGCAGTGACCCCGTTCCGATATCAAGTAATTAAATAGATGTTATTAGGAGTTTTGTGCTGTTAAATCTTTAAATTGTTAACCTAAGCTGTGACACTTACAAATATATACATTTTGAATGGTTAACAACATAAGAATACAGTTTATAATAAAACGTTTTTGTAATGGTGCACTTCTTGTGCACATTTCAAGAGCTGAAGAAAAACACCAGTGTGACAAGTCCTTTAAGTTTAATGCACTTTAAATTAGCATCTTTCAGATACAGAATTGTTCAGCCAATATTTTACATGAAGGCCTACTTATGTGAAATATACCCTTTTTTTGTGCATCTCCCCTGCTGCGGTCCATGAGAACTAACAGTGTCCTGAAGAAAATAAAAGACTTTATAAGGGCAACAGTAGATATATACAATACAGCATACTTAAGGCTACTGGCCTTAAACACACCCTCAGTGAGGTCTTGGATAATATTTACATTCAGTAATCAAACTATTTATTGTAGCAGTGACAGGAAATGTGCTTTTAAACATAATTTGGGGGAAAAGCCTTATTCGCTTTCTTGCCGAGAGTAAGATGAGAAGATCAATATCACTCGTGTCTGCAGGCTATATGTGAAGCTACAGCCAGGGGACAGCTAGCTAAGCAGAAATATTTAAAACAGAGGGAAGTAGCTAGCCTGGTTCTGTCTAATGATTCAAAAATATCTTCCTACCAGCACCTCAAAAATCTCACTACTTAGGAGTGGGAATCTGCGGCTTGATACTGTGATATTACTACTTTGATACTTACAAGCTACTCATTTAGTGTCGATTCCTTCAAAAAAATGTTGATGTATAGATATATAAATAAATATAAACGTGGATGGCTACATCACTTCCAAATGTCTTCATCACTTGTGGATAATATTTTTGCATTATTTTTCAGAAAGGAAACGTAGTGTGATGCGGTGCTGCTTTTCGCCTGCAGATAAAAATACAGCAAGATACACTATTTGTGCAATAATAGTGCACATTTAAAGACAATATAACCTGAAAGTTATTATTATTTAATCATAGTATTTATGTAAAATACTGGTCTATATTTTTTGCACTTAGAGCAACATTTTTCGTTGTAGTCTTCCTATTTGTTTTTGTAATACATTTTTCCATTATTTTGAAAAAATCACATTCCCATCTAAGAAATGATTAGTTTAAGGTATAAGGTAATTGGTATTGGCATCGTTACAATTGTAACAAAAAGTATCGTATCTAATTAAAGGTATTTTGTATCACCCATCCCTAATTAAGTGACTCCACGAACTGCATCAAGCCAAAGCATAGTCCAGCATGTTACTCCCCATAAAACCACATCTTGTCCTTTTTACATTTACTTTTTTGTGCAGATAAAACAAACAAGCTATGACGTGTTAATTAGTTGACTTCAGAAGTGCTGGTGGGTCTTTGTGCTAAGCTAGCAGCTAACTCTCAGCAAGAACTATTCCTTTAAGAAGAATTTTTGGTTGGATAATATGTCAAAAAACAAAACAAGCACCCCCGTTGCAGCCACAATCTATGTGACAATATATAAATTAGTCATTTTCCCTCCGTCAAGGAAACAAGAAAAATAACTTAACAGTAGTGTAAAGATGGTAATGACTTCATACAAAATGAATGCTTTGAATTGGTAGACAGCAGGCACTGTGGCGACAATAAGGCATCTTACTCAGCCTTCATTTGGTCCCTGACATCAGAAGGCAGTGTTTCGAATAGTGTCTCTTCCACTATAAGGCCACTGCGCTTCAAAGCACGACAGCAGCCAAGCTCTTGTGGCAGAATCTCAAAGTGGTTGCATTTGAGGTCCAAGTATGTCAGTTGAGCTAAGTAGGAAATCTTTGGCGAGAGTATGGACAGCGAGTTCTTGCCAAGCTTTAGCGTTTTGAGCTTTTTGCAAAAGAACAGCTCATCTGGTAGACTTTCGATTTTGTTACAGGTGACAGAGAAATACTGTAGACTCTGAAGGACTCCAATCTCTGGAGGGATGAACCGGATGTCATTGTTGGACAGGTCCAGGTAGCGCAGCTTGTTGCACAAGAACAGGTGCGAAGGCAATATCTCAATCTTGTTGTGGCTGAAGTAGAGGCGCTCTAGGTAGCCAAGCTTCTTGATGTGCTCTGGGATATACATGATGCCATTGTACCAAAGTTTGAGGCAAATGAGTTTTCGAAGATGTTGGAAGCTGATGATCTCCTCTATTGAGCGAAGGTTATTCTCTTTCAGGTCAAGCTCTTGCAGATTTGTTAGGCTGAAGATCGCGTGTGGGATGCGTTCCAGATCACAACGTACCAGCTCCAGCTCGATCAGGTTGGTCATCTTTTTCAGGTTGTTGAGCATTACTAGTTTAGAGCCATCGTTGTGGAAGTACAGCCGCTGCAGATGGCTGGAGACATCCACTATGGACTGGGGTATCTTTGTCAAATTACTCTTGAGGGAGAGAGTTTTCAGACACTTCATCTCCCGCAGCGACTCAAGAACTATATTTTTGGAGACATCAGGGCATAGAGACCCGGTGAGATAGAGCTCCTCTAGGTTGCGCAGGCCATACATCCAGTGTGGAAGTTCCCTGTTATCATCGAATTTCACACGAAGCACTTTCAGGTTCTCTTTGAGGAAGGAGGTAGCTGTTGTGTGCAACTTTAAAGAGCTTTGGTAAAGAGACAGCTCCTGCAGGTCTTCCAGCTGCGCGATGGAGGCAGGGATGGTGACATTGTTGATGATCTCCAGCTTGAGCGACTGCAGCTCCGTCAACTCGAAGACAGGGTCGGGTAACCCAGGGAGCATGAAGAGCTGAAGTTCAAGTCTGTTGTTGCTGTTAGTCTGCAGTCTCAGACGCAATTTCTCCGTGGTCCACTCGTGGTTGAGGTTGAGCTGCTTCAGTTTGTTCTCACTGACCTCGGATAGAAAAACGGCAAACCGCTTTGAATACAGCGGGTCATACTGATCGATCATGTGCAGCATGAAAGCAAAGTCGTTCTTGACGTCTGGGATGTCGTTGATGCCTGTTTCCTGTCGCACATACTCAAAGGAGTACTCTTTCAGTGAGCGGTAAAACAGCCAGTAAGAGGTGTAAAGGCTTGTCAAGCCATAGACGGCCACCAAACACAGGTAACAGTAGGACAACTTAGAAAACAGATGAGCCATTGTGTGGTTACAATCAAACTCTTTGTAGCCCGTCATGTCCTGGATCTCAACTTTGCAATGCACTCTATTCTGCACTTTATTCACTAGGGAACTATTATAAGCAATGATCAGTAGGAATTTGAACACCTTGAACACTGTCTGCCGAACGTACATAAGATAGAGGATGTCCCCTTCCTCAACGTGCAAACGGAACTTCTTCACCTTTTCAAAAAGGGCTTTGGCTTGTTCACCCTCTTTTTTGTCAAGAGCACTTGCTGATGGCTTGTCCACTACGATCTTCTCCGGGATCGACTGTGTCTTCTCCAGACTTCCTTCTCCAGGAGACAAAGCGATGTTAGACCTAGAAGTGGCACTCTTTTTATCTTCCTTTTCCTCTGGATTTTCTCCGGACACCTCCGACAAAGCTCGTGTGGTCCAGGGAGAGTCGAAGCACTTGCCAAGCATGGAGATGAAATGCTCTATTTTAGAGCTCGAGCCAGGGAATTTGAACCAAAAGTTGCTACACACCATGAAAATGAGTGTGTGTATAAGAACCAAATAGGGGAAGTACTTGGCATACCAGTGCAGAGCCTTCTCATAACACATCTGATTGATGAAACTGTACTGTTGAAGATCCAGATCGGTTTTTAGACCTGTCATTTCTCTTGGTACGGTTGAAATATTGGATTGCAGGTGTAACAGTGACTTCGATTCCACTTCACTTCTGTTCACCGAGACTCTCAGAGGAAGGCATATGATTTTATCTTGCATTACCTGAAACAAAATGAGTGAGAAAAAAAAGACAGATTAGTTTGCTCTGGGGCCGGTACATGGTTAGAAACCCCCTGAACACACCTGTGTACCTGGTGGAAAACTAAATACAACCCAAGGCATCAGTCAAGAAAGTCTCACAACACACCACAGCAGCTTCAGCAAAAGCTTCTTCCCATCCGCAATAACGCATTGACTCACTGCCAACGAACGGCTCTGAAAGGTAAATAAAGTAACCTCAACGTCCTGCATTGACCAGGTGTTTTCTGATTACTTGAGTAACCTGATTTCTCGGAGAAACCCGGTGTACTGAGTGAGAGAAAACATACTGAATATTTGCCAGAAGTTGGTATCAGTAAACAAGAACTGGCTTTAGTGTTTACCGTACAGTGCATGTTGAAAAACAGCTGCTTCACTCTGCAATAACAGGAAATGGATGCTTTAATTCAATGGTCACATAACTGAAGGAGAGAGATTTTGTGCACTCTGTCAAGCTGTCTGATTCAGATGATCTGCAATATTACAGTATGTTAAGTGCAAACAAACTTCATTTGTGAAGAGTGAATGCAAAAGGACATTATTACTAAATGAAGGGCAATCCAGCTGTGCTGCAGCACACCACAGACTGAAATGCAAAGTCAGGTCTGCTGGGGTCTCCGAAGAGCTGATCTGCAGAATTTTACAAACTCAGTCTCTCTCTGTATTTCTCCCTTTAACTCTAATGTTGTGTGCGACTATGAAGTAATTACACAAAATGGCATGTTGATAATGGTCTGAGTTATAATGTAAACTTGGCCACATAAATAATTGAATAAATTATTATAAACTATTTGATCATGTCTAAACATTGTTATAGTGAGAGTGGGAAACAATAGCTGCTCCCACACTGATAAATATCCTGTTAACAGTTTTTCTAAAAAATGTTTTGGTATCATTTCCAGGATTTACACTATAGAGGAGCCAAAAAATGGTCCTATTCCTCACAGAGAGAAAAGTTAAGCGCCAGGCCACAGGAGTTTGGAATCTTATGTTTACTAAAAGGGGCTGGGTGGGTAAATGTTTCCACTGGTGAACTCCTGTTGGGCTGAATGCCGTACACAGTCCCGGTTGTAAAAGCAGGGAATTAGTGCTTTTGAGCTGCTGCCAATGCACGAGGCAGGGCAGTAATGTTCTATCGGAGAGAGCTCGAGTGAATTAAATCACTCTAGATGTTCTGAAAAAAATAGCAGGACAACTCCTTTTATCTTATAAACATGATGCAGTTTAGACTGAAGTTACATTAGTGTCCATTATCTACATTTTCCCCTTCACTTTCAAACAAATGGTTACAGTCAAAAAGTGGAAACACAAGTGGCACAAGCCATCACATAACCTTATGTAACTCACGAAGGAGAAGCCTGTTCACCAAAGTAGAGACATCATGGTGAGGCTTTGTCACTGACCTGAAGAGTGCATCCGAAGACACCAATCATGAGCATGACTACAGACAGGTAGTCGGTGAACACATCCCACCACGGTTTCAGGACTCTGAACGCTGGCTGCTGTTCAGAGAATTGCCGGAATTCCATCACAGGAATCATGATGGCTGTTAACAAAAAAAGTGGAAAATTATATATAACATACACTTATCATTTTCAGTCTACGCAAAGGAAAAAAGAACAATGCCATTATTGCAATCACAGTGTAAATAAAGGAGATTCCGGTTTGTAACAACTCACAAAAATAAGTTGAGAGCCTTCATTCAAATACCCCTCAAGATGAATTGTAATTGCTTCAATCCTCAATTTTTCATCTGGCGCTGCCATCAGGTCAAAATATCAATATATATTTGCCCAAATTAACCACATTCCAATCCACCTCAGCTGTACTTGCTCATTTGCAAATGTTAGCATGCTCACAACCAGTGGTGTATAGTAACGAAGTAGAAATACTTTGTTACTGTACTTAAGTCGTTTTTTTGGATATCTGTACTTTACTTTACTATTTATATTTCTGTTGACTTTTACTTCACTACATTTTGCAAAGAAAACTGATACTTTTACTCCGATACATTTCCCCTGAAACCTTCGTTACTCGCTACAAAATCAAATCTATCTTTAGAAAAAAAATGAATCATGAGACCAACGTCGGGGACTGTGGTGGAACAGAGACTGCAAGCAAGCAGGTTTGGTGAATCAGTGGTCCTAGCTTGCAAGTTAAATCATTGGTTAATCACGTTAATGCGCAATTGCAAACAAGTGCTCTCAAAGATGCCCAGGATGCTAGCTAGCGCGACTACATTAGTATAATTCCACTGTACGATGACTGATTTCATGATGGAAGCAGAAATGGAAGCACCTGCTACTCCCGCAACAAACTACGGTGGTGACGAAGACCAACACCCGTGGATCGCTAGCGAGTTAGTGAGCTGAGGAAGTGTTGACAGTTGTGAGATTTTGTTGATTTGAGTCATCTTAGCTATAATCATTGCAGCACTAGTTGGCTAACGTTAGCTAACTTAACGTTAGCTAGCCACCACACCATAGGATTGTCAGGAAGCATTAGGGAAATCCTTCCCAGCTGTGCGCAAGCTGTGTGTGAAGCTGAACACACCTCTACCTGCCTCAGCGGCCTGTGAAAGGCTATTTAGCATCGCAGGACTAGTCTTCAGCCCAAGAAGAGCGAGACTGAATTCTCGCAATTTTGAAAACCAACTTCTTTTGAAGATGAACAGGACATTTTTCAGTTTCAAGTAATGACTGGGTTGCTGCTTTAGTATTGATCATGTTTTGATATTTGAGTCATTTTGTGGATGATCAGATGGAGTTATGATGGTAGCAGTCGCCCAATTGCAGATTCAGCTTGAGCAAAACCTTTGCCTATTGTGCTCAGATCAGGCCCATAGGAGTTTACAAGGCAGGTGTCCTTTCTCAAAACACTGACCTGATGCATCAAGCGGATATTTTTTGCTGAACACAATATTATGCATTTGCCCTCTACATCCTCTAGTCGGAATGAGCATACTTATAAACGCACTGTTACAACTCCTTCATAGTGTCATATTGCTTTTCGGAGAATTATGACGATAAGTTCATAGTAGATGCAAAAGTATACTTATGTACAATATAGTATGTTGAACATTGTTGCTCCTGGATGGATCACAGCCAACCCAATTATTTTCAACACAGCTCCATGTCCTTGGTCATGGTGCCACAGCACTTAAAAGAATAAACTTCATAATTCTCAAAATTCTGACCCTTTGCTTTTTTATTAACAGCATTTACTTGTACTTTTACTTTCAATACTTAAGTACATTTAATATCAGAAAATTACTTTTGATACTTAAGTACAATAAATATCAGATACTTTAAGACTTTTACTCAAGTAGTATTCTAATAGGTGACTTTTACTTTTACTGGAGTCATTTTCCAGTAAGGTATCTTTACTTTTACTCAAGTATGGCTTTTGGGTACTTTATACACCACTGCTCACAAGCTGTACTAAGAGAGTGAACACGGCAAAACATACCTTCTTCATCATCATTTTAGCACTGTCATTGTGAGCATGTTAGCATGCTGTTAGCATTCAGCTCAAAGTACAGCTGTGCCTCACAGGGCCACTAGCATGCCTTCATGCCAGGGGTAGGCAGGGGTTTGTGATGTGAACGCCGTATTTGTAGCCTAGTGTTTACCTTGTGATTGTTGCAACAAAAGATGACCAAATACAAAAACTAATGTCATTCCCATTACCCTCTCCTGTGTTTAGTGCTACCTAGCAAATGTTAGATTGAGAACATGCCAAACAATAAGAAGGTGAACATTGTGAACATACCTGCTAAACATCAGCATGTTAGCATTGTCAAGGTGAGCATGTTAGCATGTTGATCTTGGCAATTAGCTCAAAGCCCCGTTGTGCCTGACTTTGAGCCTCTTAGAGCAGAACGCTCTTATACCTAATTTAAACTTCTGGGAAAAAGCTTGCGCGAAGCTTCCACAGAGTCACAGAGAAGGTTTGCAGTGCTCGCAGAGAGCTGCAGAGTATAAATCAGACATTAGGCTGCATTCACACCTAATCAGTCATTGCAGCGAAGCAGTGGGGCACCACAGGGGATGCCGGGAAAGATTCAGCGGCCTGCGTTGAAACAGAGTCAACTTTTGGACAAACGCAACCTGATTTCACCTCTGCTGTGGCCAATCGCACAACCGGCCATTGAAATCAAATGGCTCAATCAAAGGAGTGTCACTCAATGGCCCATCCGACATTGTCGCACAATCCTGCGCTAAACGGCGCAACACCTGAGTTGCTATGAATGCAGCTTTAGTCTTGTATAATATGGACTCAAAAACACAAATAGTCCTTGCACCTTGAATTTTCACACCATGTCCTCTCTGGTGATAGCTCAGTGATAAACAGAGACCAGTGAATACAGAATGTTTCCTCAGACTGATGACTCCCTCTCTAGTGGAGCGCCAACATTATACAAATGCACATTACAAATGTAACTATTTAAAAGTCAGTGCCCATAAACAACTAAATGACTCATGTTGTAGAGCTTTCGTTAGGACATTAACTTCAAAGTCCAAGGAGCACATTGAAAAATGGCTTTACAATGTACCCGATGATGGACAAAATTGACTATTATGCTATTACTTAGCTATTACTGTCTTAGAAGACTGTTACAAATCTGTCTTTGTTAACAAATGTAGCATGAAAAAGAGTGGTGTGTCCCCGATACAGCTTTCTGCTCACACTGTGCTCACCTTCTGTAAAGTGCTTACTACAGCTGCAAGTGTTCTATTTCTTTTGTCTGTCTGGCAGTAGGTTGGCTGCAGTGTCATTCAAACTTAACCCAGTCGATGAAAATTCTCTATCAGCACCAGTGATCTTTGTTGTAAAACATGTCAGTGTGAAATATATTTAACATGATTATAGTATGATGCATTCAATGCTGGAAACAATAAAAATGTCTAAATACAAATATCTCCCATATGTCTCAAAAGTTTATGCTGGTATAATGAAAAATCTACAAGGTGCCAGACCATAATGTATTTTTATCATCTGCAGCTCCACAGGCCCACATTGTCAAGTGCTGTCAATAGCTGAATACATCTACACTCAAACCTCCATTCATTATTAATGAGTTTAGCTGCAAGGTAACGCTGAATAGGTAGCTGAAAGCCTGGGGGTTTTAGAGACATCACAGTTTTGATAGTTCAATTAAACATTTTTATTGATTCTTCCGTCTCAGTGTCATGACAACAGGCAGGATGTATTTAGAGGATGTTTACACTGAACTGTCTACAGACGGTTGAAAGGCCAAGAAACATTTTCCTCACTCAGCTCTAGTTGTATCTATCCGAGCAGTTTTTGTGTTAGGTTTCACATATCCATCTCAATGGAATTTTGTTTCTAGTATTGAAAAAATGTTTTCATTAAATAAATAAAAAATCCAACAGCAACATCTGTTTCCAGAAACAATGATCTTGTTACTCTTATACGCAGACCTTGCTGAGAACAGGTTTCGTTGGAACTACTTTTTAAAGAAATAGTCCCCATGAAAAATGTTAATAGTGTGTTTTACACTGATGTAAGATAAGTAGGCTACATGCACTGTACTTAAGTACAATTTGAGGCACTTGAACTTTACTTGAGATGGCCTTTTTCTATTTTTGTATAAGCTTTATGGTCACTTATACTTGTACTCCACAACATTGTAAAATTGGACTTTTTAGTCCATTAAATGTATTTGACAGCTATGGTGGTTAAGATAAGCTAACCTTCCCAACCTTTCCCCAACTGTGGACTGTTGTTCTAGCGACAATTTCGTGACCTCCCAGCCACACTCTGCTGAATGCTGAAAGGTGATGATGATAGATTGGTTATCTTGCTTACAAGTTACCAACTTCAGTTCAAAATCCCTATATTTTTGTTCGGGGAGTGACGGAGTGTTACGGATAAATTGCGGTGCGGACCACAAGGTAATTACTGCAAAAACAGTCTGTAATAGCCTACAATGTTAAATAATAGTACTGAGCTATTTTTTCAGGATCGTATATTTCCTTGTGGCCCTTGGGGTTGCGAAAATGGTTTATGAGACAACCCAACATGATATCAAGTAGTTCATAAGAGCTCCACCTGAACAATCTAACAACATAATATACGGGCACTCCGAATCGAGCTTTTCAGCATAATGCATACTTTTACTTTTGATACTTTAAGTACATTTTAATGCAGGATCTGAATACTTCTACTACTGGTGTTTTGCGGTATTATCCAGAGTTGTAGGACTGTATATAAGAAGTGGCCTATCAATATGACATCATCCATTGGTTTGTGTACTGCCAGTGTAAAGCCTGTAGTCTGGTATTTTGTCCATCGCCATCTTGGTTTTTGGCTGTCGCAATCAGAAGTGACACGGGAGGGTACAGCTCAGTATGTCGAAACATTGAATAACAATTTGTAGGTGACCAAAAAGGTTACAGTCAACTTTCATCACCTGAAAACACTTTGTAAGTCGAAAACACGGACAGCCCCCAGACTGGACCATGCTGTGGTAGCAACCTGTCAATTACAAGGCAGCCACGACCTTAATGATAGCCTGCTTCATGGTTTTACTCTAAGTTGGACCATAATTTACAAAATGAACATCATGCTGTATTAAAGAAGACTTAAAACTGGCGATTGAGACCGTAAACTCATGTTTATGATGTTTACTGAGGTAATAAATCAAGTGAGAAGTAGGGTCATTTTCTCATAGACTTCTATACAATCAGACTTCTTTGCACCGCCGGAAGACTCCCCCTGATGGCCATTAGAGAGAATGCAGGTTTAAGGCTTTTTCACATTTGGCTTTACTTTCAGACCTGGAGGTTGCAGCCTGTTTGCAAGGGAGTGATACTAATAATGAAAAGAGTTTATAAAAGGTTGTGGGCAGTCAGAGGAGGTCAATGTATTCTCAATAGTAAAGACCCCCCGCCCCCCAACCCAAAAAAACGATGTTTACCACAATGCAACACAAAAGTGTCTTTGTTCAGATCCTCAATGCCTCCAAATTGCCCAGATCTTACAAACCCCACTTCTCCAGCTTGTAATGCAGGCTTTCTATTAAAAAGTATCAAGACCACACAGATACAAGTAAACTGAATCACCATATGTGAAATTGGTGATGTACCCCTTTAAGGGTAAAAGACTGAGTCCTTAAACTAATAGCTAATAAATTATAATCTGGCTGCATGGCAAAAGTTAAAAATAGTTACTTAAATGTCATCTGTATGGCCATTTTATACTGTTTTAATAACAGGGTGGAGTCATGGAAAAAAATAAAAGAGATGACACAGAGAAAGGAGGCTTTGGGGTCAGGGTGTGAAGCCTGCAGTTTGTATTGGGTCCTTAGGAAAAACCCTGTCTGTGCACTGGATGAGTCAGCCATTGAGTTGAGCTGACCGGGCCATATCCTTGTCCCTTCCTGACAGGAAATTTGTCTGAATCCCAGATATCCAAAAACAGACTTGTTTGGAACACACCCAGCCCCTGGCGTACAAAAAGTCTTGTCTCGTTAAGGATATGGTGAAGAAGAAAAAAACTACCCGCATTGCAGAAAAAAACCCCACCTATTAATGAGGCGCACTTTTATAGAATTTAGTTACTAGCTCCTAAAAAAAAGTGTTAATCCAGTCAGAAGAGCTGCGATTCATCCTGAGATCAGCACGAACCATCAAGAAGTCATCCGGTTAAGGCGCTTGAGTTCCCTGTTTTAGGATTCTGAGGACACGTAGGGTGAACGCGCGGCTCTGAGGCGCGGGCACGCAAACGAATGCGTAACCTATATGCACGACGACCGTCTGTTTGAATATACCAGGTAAACTAACGGTGATCGCGGTGTAAACCGGTTGGTGAGACGCTCACGCTATATTTATACACGTCGGACCAACACGCTCTCTTATTATTCCTCCATCGCAGCGGTGCTTAGTGACCTACCTTGCGGTTAGATGAGAGCTGGAGTTGAGGATGTGACGGCTCGGCTTTTCATGCGAAGAGGTTTCGGATCATTGATGTGCGCGGTGCCCCCCTTCTCCTTCTCTGTCCGCTAACCTTCCTGAATCCTCGCCCGGGACCATGCAGGCATGTAGCCCTCTGTCAGCCACAGGGGCGTGGACTTGTGGAGAAACCCAAGCAGAGACTTCCCTGCGTGTGGTGAATGTTGTTTATGAGACTGCTGAGGGGAGGAAAGGCCAAAACAGGAGCAGTCTTTCTGCTAATAATACTCGCAGGAACAAAACAACAACAACTACAGCTTCAGCACCATTATCCTTTGTGTCCTCTGAATATCTATCGGCTTCACATTTTGCCTTTCAGTCTAATGATCAAAAGTATCTTTGAGTTCAAGTCAATACAAGTTTATTTTTCATAATTATACACCATACAGTACCTAAATACACATCCTGTACTTTGGTAAAAGTAGCCTACACCAAACAAGTAAAAGTATCCTTTATTGTAAATCCTACCCAAGTAAAAGTACAACAGAACTAGCCTATTTATACATGATATATATATTTTTCAGCCATAGACGTGATAGAGTCCGTCCAAAGAGGTGGTAATGCCCCGGCCGACATGCTGGTGGTCGGAGGCTGCAGCTGCCTCAGTTGTGGAGAAATCATATGAAGGTATCATATAAAACCAGACGACCCGATGAATCCATTGGTACCAACCACATCATGCTAGCTTGTCAGGACGAGGCTGGAAAACGCTTCAAAGTGTGAAAACGGGAATGGAGATTTTTCAGAGGGATCCCCTAAACTCTCACCTCAAGATAGGTGAATAAAAATGGGTTCTATGTGTACACACAAGTCTCCCCGTCACACACATGTTCACTTTTTGATAATCCTTTTCCATAATCCAAAAACTAAGCAGTTTGCATGTATGAATGTGTTAGTTCCCCCTATTCTAAAAATGGTGTATTTGAATATTTCTGCGCCCTAAATAGTCTTAGAATTGCATTGCATTACAACTGGGGTAAGGCTGCGACTCTTGTGGATCAATTGTCTTCATGTGTGATGATGCTAGTCCCCATAGTAGTAGCCATTTCACATAGCGAGACCATTTTTTGAAACTTGACCTCACTGTATAAAATGACCTGTTGTGACCTCTAGGATGACCACAGCTAAACTAGAGACCTATGGCATTCAGAGGAAGCATGGCTTATAGGTATATTGACAATAAGGGGGCTCCTGAGCCGTTTCCAGAACAGAAGTGCTTGCCATCTAATCACCAAATGTCAAAAATTGTAGATACTAAAACACAGCATGACCTTTCTATGATGTTCTATGAGACCGGCGGCGCAATGAATTCGTGCCGCGTTTGGTGTGAACACGGAATTAGAGATCCCTTGTCCCCATATAAAAGGACAAACATGGGTCCATGTCAGTCTCTTAGGGTTCTCTTATAATGATCTTTTATGATATAGTTCTTATGATGTATATGTATTTATGATGTACCTTGTTCCTTTTACTCTTTCTTTATAGAGCGTTTTATTAAAAGGTTTGTAAATAAGAAGTGGACTTAGGGTACTTCTCAAGTCTCTTAATTGTCGTTTCCTCGCCCTCGATCCTCGCTTGAACCGGAAGTTGTTTCTGCGCCGCCATATTGACGGGCGTCCCAAAGCTCTAATGTAGCTCGGAGGAGCAAGGCTCGAGGATGGAGGAGGGACCTCGGAGGAGCCATGAGCGAGGAACCACGGGAACAGACTTCCAGGAAGTGTTTTAACGGCCGACACGCCCCCTCATTGTTCATCAGTTATGTGATTGGACGCTGCAGCCGATCGGACTGACTGACTGGAGTTTCATACCAGAGTGAAGACAGATCACAGAATAAACTCTAGTTTATATTTGATTAGGTTTCTGATTTGCCGTCTGGTTTAAATAAATGTTCATTGTAGACTGAACAACAAAACGACCACAAACAACTTTGAGAGACGAAACACTTTTTACATCATTTATCATCATTTCATTCAGTCACGTGAGGCTGTTCATTCCTGATTGTCGGGTTTGATGAGTTTTATCATTTAAGAGAAACAATATTCATATTCTGGGTTATTTAATAATGACGCCACACTCACAATTTCAAAACGTACAGACGCAAATAATTCATAAATAAGACGATCGCATTCCACCGGTAGAAATGGATCCTGTGCTTATAAACAGAACACAGGACACAGTTTGTTAACAGACTACAGAGAGAAACACCTCTACAGTGGTGATTACTGTGTGTCTTTATTAGTTATTAGTATTATTAGTTCCTATCATTAAGTACAGTGATCATGTGAACAGACACAAACTTCTCAAAAGTCTCTCCAACTGTTAAAGCCGAATGACAGCTGATCCAGCTGTGATCAGCTGATCCTCCGTCATCAGAAACAGACGTCGCTTCACGTGAGCAACTGAGGAAAGGACGTCTCATGTCTCTAAAAACATATTTCCTCGTTCCTCTCTCCTCGAATGGTTTCCTCCATGCATCACTGGTGGGAGGGACTAAGACGCAAGGAAAGGACCCAAGTGAGGGAAACGGGGATGCAATTAAGAGACTTGGAATGTACCCTGTGTCACCGTGACGTCACCCATTGGTCTGCTGTTTTAAAGCCTTGAGTTCAGTATTTTGACCGTCGCCATCTTGGTTTCTGACCGTTAACATCTTATTTTTTTGCAATCCAAAGTGACAGAAAAGGGTGGAGCTAGTAACATCCATTAATTGCACTGTAGAGATGTTTATGGACCAATATAGTGTCATTCATGTCCCTCATTGGACACTCGAACTAGCCTTTCTGCGGCAACAATTGGCCTTAAGCCACATGAGGAAATATAATCTTCTAAAATATTGTATTGATGGAATAGCACAACATTTGGTGCATTTATGTTTCACAGAGGATGTATTATAACTGATCCTCAGTCTTTTCCTCTAGCACCACCATGAGGCTGATATTTAAGCTCTTTATTGAAATATTTTTCTATCCATCGTCTGTGACCCCAGAGAGTGAGGATTAATAATCTTAATCCGACTTTTCATGACGTGAAACCATCGGGTTATTTCATCCAATGCTTTGGTTTTGACAAAACAACCCAGCCTCAGCTGTACTCTGTTCGGTGCTAATCAGGGAATGTTAGCATGCCAACACGCTAAACAAATCATGAACTGAAAAATTCAAGACAATATATTTTAGACTTGATTTTTTTTTTTTAAATACATAACAGCAGATTTAAATACATTTGATTAAGATTTAATAAAGTAGGCAAGGTATTGAGGAACAAAAAGTACTATAGCATTTAGTCAAGGCTCTAGATTGTCCCACAGATGCACAGCCAGGGTCTGAACATGTCCATCTTTGCTTTCATCGCACACATACTATAGTTATGACCCCGTGCAGGACAGCTGGAAAATGCACGCTGAAATGCAGGAGTTCAGAAGCAACTTCTCAGTGGTGGTACACAAAGAGTGTCTTTACGCCATTGGTGGAGATCAACACCAACCTAGGCAGCGTCGGGATGTACAACCCAATGTTCATATGTTGATCTCGGGTTTTAAAAACATCTTTAACTAGTAGTGAGGTGTTTGATGCACAGCAAGCCAAAAAGTTTTAAAACATTTGTTGCATTTCTTTTATTGACATTTCAACAATCCTCCAAAATGTTTAAACTTTACATGAGAAAAAAAAAGGAAGAAGAACAGATTGAGACGAGCATCCCTGAACAAGCCATGGCATCTCATTCTATTCTAAAATCTACAATGTTGGGAAGATGAGGAACCCACTTAAGCATTTTTCCACCCTTCCACAGGATGCCGTTGACGGTCTCTCCGACATCCAGCTCAAGGATTACCGTGTTGCCGCTGTTATCTGAGCCAGTGAATTCCCAGGTGCTCACTTGGTAATTCCTGTTCTTCACCAGGATGGCTCCTGAAGTGTGACCGTTGTAGCCGAAAGTCATGAATGAAAAGTGGTAAACGCCTTTCAGTCAAGAATGCAATGATATCAATAAGTTCTAAAAACATTTGTCCACAATACATTTTTCTACTCAACGGAAACATAAATAACCATCATCTTCTCAGTTAGATTATAAGATCGATACCACTCTTATGTCTGCATGTTAAAAAATGAAGATAAAGCCATGCAGCTGGTTAGCATAAAGATTACAAACTGGGGAAAACAATTGGCCACCTTTATTCTAAAAGTAACAAAATCACCTACGAACACATCCTAAAGCTTAATGGATTTATAGGAAGCTTGTGGAAAAGCTTCAGAGGCCCTGGTAGGAAGATTTTTCCATGTTCTGACCATATCACTAAACCAATGTTTCCCATACGATATCCAATAATATGGAGGATGCATTCCATTTTATTAAAGAGGCATACTTTCATATCTGTTAATCATTGATCAGTCTTCTGAAGGTTATGCATCTAGAACATACCTGTTTTACTGTTGTAATCGAAGCCAACATTTGTGAAGACTGTTATAGATGAGAATATTGTTGGTGCCGTTCGTGCCGGGTCCAGTGAACGCATCGTTGGATTCGATTATAGTTGCAGAAAAGGCCACCTTGGCATTGACTGACAAAAGAAATGCAAATATTGTTAAATTCAGTTGCGTGTGTTTAGCATCTTGAACTATTACTTACGATACTTTCCCTTACCTTCTGCTGTAAGGCGCATCGCCTCTAATGAGAGTTCACTTTCTTCAGTTCTGGGTTCTGCAGAAAAAAAAAAAAAAAGTGTAGTGTTACTTTTAACATAGAATTTTACATTGTTATAAAAAAGCAGCAGCTCAGTATTTATCCATTTTCGGGGGTACAAGTTGCAAAGCTTTTGTTAAGGGATTGGACCATCTCGTCGCTCTCGAGACCGTCAATGTCAGCCTTCTGCTGGGGCACTGAATTTTTCAGCTGTTCATAAACATTCCTGAATCCATCAACTTCAGCCTTTTGATCATTCAGGTTTTTTTTAAAGATAATGCAGACTTGTAGAACTTACCTCCGCTGTCATTTTGTATTTCCGTCAGGTTAGCTTCAAGTTGCGTCTCCGTGGGATTCAGTAGGGCTTCGACTTTGACTTCAAGCTCCCGGGCCGTCGAGTTAAGGTGGGAGAGTTCCTTCTTGCATAGAGTCAGCAGTTTCTGTGTGGCATTGAACGCAGCCCCAGTTTCTGACTCCAGATTTTCAAGTTTCTCTCCCTTAACTGCTCTCAGTTGTATCAAGTCTCTCCTCAATCTCACTGATGTTTCCACTGACTCTCTCCCCGTGTTTGACCAGTTCTCCAACTTCTCTCTTCAGGCTGGCAATGTCAACTTCCTGTTCCTCCAGCTTTGTCTTTGCATCTCTCAACTCCATCTCAGTTTGTGACGCCATCTCTTCTAGGTCCTTTTGTGCGTTTGAAACATTTGTCATTAACCTTTCAAGCGCACTAATGTTGCCGCTTGCAGAATCAAGCTGCAGTCCGGTCCTACCTTCCATAGCGTCAATCCTGTCTCGCAGCAGCATTTGGTTCTCTTCAAGTTTTGTCTGAACATCAGAGGTGTAAAATGTTTTTGTAATTTGAGCAAAGAGTCAGCGTTTCTTGTCCTTGCTCCGGGTCACAGCTCCGTCTGAGTTCTGAAGATGCCGCTCCAACAAAAGCCAGAAGAAAAACCACCATGGTGACCATCTTCACAGATCCGTTAAGGTTCTTCACTTGACCAGTCTGCAAAGTTAGGATTCCTGTGGTAGTCTCGTGTGGCAGCTCCCTTTTACCTTTTTTGAGGTGGGCGTGGCAAAGGGTCATCAGCAGAGTGGAAACACCTGAGCTCATCAGCAACACTGGCAACACATGGGCCCTTTGTGCCAGTGCACTCTTTTAAAAACCCTGTTTAGTCTCAGTAGGTCCCTGTCTCCTGCCTGAGACACTCATATGTTTTTTGGTTGACATCATGGTTTGTGTTGGCGTGATACAACATTACACACTTTGCACTCACCTGCACTGCTGAAATTACTGATTTCACACACCACTGTTAGTTTTAGCTTGCCATTTATGTTGCCTTTAAGTTAAGTTAATAATTAGCTTTGTTGCGTGAGTCTCACTCGTCACTGTCGTTTTGTGACGAGGGTGCAACAAGAGCTTTCTTACATCTAGGGAATGTCCCTCACCACTTAAACCACCAAACCTCTCTCTTTGATATTCTGCCATGTGTAGACTTCTCTTACTATTCTGACATGTAACGTAACTCAATCGAAACTTGTGCTGGGTTCACGCAACAGCCACGCAATGCAAAAAGGAAAACCTAGAGACGTAATGCAGCAGAGAAATGCCTTAAAGAGATGATCCAAAACAATCAAGAGCAAAACCATTCATTCATTCATAATTGTGTGTAATAAAAAAGGAAAGTGCACATAACACTTTGTGTGACACTTCAGTCAAATAATGATGTGATACAAACCAATAATCTAATAATACAGTGCAGTTTAGTCTGGATAATCCTGATGATCCTGAGGAGAGGTTGGGCCAGGCTGCCGTACTGATGACCGGAGTCCGGTTCCCCTTCATGACCTTTCGAGAGGTCAGGACCATTAACCTACGCATGGAGAGCTTCGGAAACAAAGAGGCGTAACTCTATGGTTCAGCGCTCAAGGAATTTGGTTTCAGCCTTCCAGAAACCCAGGATCAGTGCCGGATCCGCCGTCCCAAAGACGCCGTGGTTGTGGTCGGGGGAGACCAGCTGAACCCAGATTTGGGACAGCGCATACCAAGCAGGGAACTGTGGCTTGCAAACTCCTTACGCAGTGGTATAGGTTTGGTGAAGAAGATTGAGTGGAGGAGGTTGGATGAGATGCCAGACAAGCCAAATATCAGGCATGGAGTAGCAGCAATGGTGGGAAAGTTGTATGTATTTGGAGGATGTTACCACTACTGCAAGGATGACATGATGAAATCTGCCTCCAGGTAAAAGGACACAACTGGTGCACAAATATCCTCTTCTCACTTTGAATAACCGTAGGACTAAATACTACTCGAAACTATAGGACTCTAAACTAAATACTCGAGGACTCTAAACTAAATACTATAGGAGTCTAGAGTATTTAGTTTAGAGTCTTGTAGTATTTAGATTTGAGTCTTGTAGTTTTTAGTTTAGAGTCTTGTAGTATTTAGATTTGAGTCTTGTAGTTTTTAGTTTAGAGTCTTGTAGTATTTAGTTTGGAGTCTTGTATTATTTAGTTTAGAGTCTTGTAGTATTTAGTTTAGAGTCCTGTTGTATTTAGATTATTGATTAATTGACTAACCGTTTTGGCTGTAAATTTCAATAAGTAGTCCAAAAAATGTCCTTTACAATTTTCTTAAGTCAAGTTGACATCTTCAAGACCACAAAATATTCAGAAAGCTAATATTAACATTTGAAAAGCTGCAACCATTTATATATCATCATTGTTGTTAAAAAATGAAATTAATTGATTATTTAAAATATTTGCAGATCGACTTATAATGAATGGACCGATCCTTTCAGCTCTGACTGATGCTGCTCGTTTCTGATGCAGGTATTGATAAAACTCTTATGACATCTCTCCCTAACCTCTTCTTAGTATCTTACCTTTCCCTGGCTATAAGCAGCCGGTCCCACATTCAGTCCCTGGGGAGCCATTGATGTATTTAGCTGCTCAAATCTGTGTGGTGCTGCTCCCAGGGGGGTACACCCATCCATCCCAGCGGGGGCAATAGGACGAGATGGAGCTGGAGGTGGTGTTGGATCACAAATCACATCCTGGAGGGTGGATAGCAGATTGTTGAACTGTTGAAAAATGGTAATTCTGCACCCTGATCCATGTTGTAAGACATTTTGTTTGCTGTCTTCTTACAGTTAGTTCTCACTTTCAGAATAATGCCTCTTATCTGAAGTAAATTGGGATCCTGTGACAAACATTGATAAGACTAATAATTACTAATTACTAATAATAATAATGATAATAAAATAATAATGATAATAGCTGAATTAGAAATATGAGTTAAAGTAAACACACAGCTACACAATAACAATCTATTACTGACAGAATAATAAAATCACGATGTGTCTGGAGGGAAAGTTCCCACTGTAAAATACAATGTTTTCTTTCTGCTAATTATACTTCTAATGTACTATAGTTCAAAGGGAAATACTTTACATTTTACTCCACTACACGTATTACAGTAGTACAGTACGTAGCTACAGTTCCTATTTATTTTACAGATAAACATTTTATACAACTTATTTAACACGTTACTTTTATGAAATATGTTGCATTTTTAAAGAGTGAACTAAGTTACCCACCAACATATAAAGTGTATAACTGGTTTTACCTGCTCAGCATGCTACATTTAAATACAGCGTACATGTTGATGAATCAGTATTAATAATCCAATAATATAAAATATGATATAAAACTTTGAAATGAGCCAATCTGCATGATAGGTTCTTACATAAACTAGTCCACTGCATTATAATGAATACAGCACACTATAAACCTCTTCTGTGAACCTACAAAGGCCAAATAATAGTAATATTACAAAGGCAGATCTTATTCATGTGATGCCCAATGAAAGGAACATTGTGCATGAATAATATGCATTAAACATCTTATATTACAGAACATACCACAGGATGCTATGGTATGGATTCTAGGTAACCACTTTTGAACTGCACATTGACTGTGGTTTGAAGATTTCCCTTTGCTGCTGCCAGACAGAGGGCCTGTGCAGATCTGATGTATCGCATTAACAATGTAAACTGTAAGTGATCGCAAATGGGAAATTATCTTTTACTTTCCATCTCCACATTTCTGTCACAGCATCTCTTTAAATGTAACTTGTAGAACTTGGAGGGCAGATGCTGACTGATCAATGCGTCCCACATCCGCCTGCTGCAAAGGGCAGTCTACTCACACGGTGAATCACTCTGCAGCCTCTGGACCAGTGTACAACGGCAAGGTATTAAAATATGCATCATCTTTAATTCCTAAAATACATTCAGCTGGTAGTTTATGAAGTACACAACAAATAATGCAGCAATAATCCTACCTTCATAAAGGCGGGAACTGTCTCATAGAGGTATGGATTCAACTTTATGGTCATTTTGGATGTTGTTGTATTGTGTTAGAGGTGTTTTTATATTTTGTCCATCCCACATATATCAACGAGGGTACTTTATTTGCACATTTCTCATACTTGCAACTATAGTGTCCTTTGTTTTTCACTGAGCTACTGTCGTCCCTTTCAACGTGTAAGAAACTTGGACAGCATGTTGTGAAAAGTCTCTACTGATATTTGCTGAGGTTTCTGTCGAGTAGGCTAACTGTAGGCAGAGGTCTCAGACAATAGCAAAGGACAGTTTGCTATTGTTTGTGTCAGGGCCTGTACAGAAACAACGCCTGCAGTGTGTGTGTGTGTGTGTGTGTGTGTGTGTGTGTGTGAGGAGGGGGGGGGTAAACCTTATTGTTTCACTTTGTAAAGAAGCAAAGCCCTCCCCGGAGTAATTAACGTTTTCTTTGACCCCTCCTCTTGATGTAGAAAGACCTGCGACACACTCCCCACGACAACAGTATAACTGTGTTAGAGCTGTACAACTTACTTCATTGTGTAGGCTACCCCATTTTAATACTTATAATGTGTGATACTAATGTACACATTATAAAACCCTGTTAACAGAGACAGAATTGTTGTCCTCTCCATATGGTGTGGTAATGTTGTAACCATTTTTTATATTTCTGAAATATAGGTTGAAAGAGTAATAAGGACCCTCCCTAGACTCCCCAAAAAGTCAGAGTACCCTTTCAGCCAAAAGAAAACAGGGGCTGATCCATAGACGCGCTTCCAGCAAAACCATTGTTATTATCTCCACCAGGAAGATCATGAGATTGGTCACTTGTGTGTGCGTCTGTGTGTCTGTCCACGGCTAATGTATTGCTTTTGTATGCTGACTTGGGTAGAAGTGGCAGTTGCAACAACACATCATTAGGAAGTTATTAGCGACCTGAGGCTTATGTTCTGCGCTGCTGCTGAAAGCCTCATCGTCATTTTTATAAAAGTCGTTTGTTTATCCGTTCACAAAATGAAACCGCTGGGAGCATTCATTAAAAAAAACAAGTGAGGAAGAGCTACTTGGATTTGACAGCGATGTAACACAAAGCAGATGCACAAACACGTTCCGAAAGGATTCCCAGAAATGCTGGAAACTCATGGGAAACACTACACGCCACCAGGTGTCGTACAGCCCAAACATTTTTAAACAAATCAAGAATTTAAACACAAGAGAGAGCCTGTTGATAATGCATACTTGGCAGGATCTTACAATTTGAAATATCCACAGCAAGACGTGACGTATCCATATAGGCTACTGACTGCAAACTGGATGCAGGGAGAAAACTCTCTCCATGCAGTAGTGTCCTGATATGTCAAACAGAGAGCTGTTCAACTTCATTCTGACTTTGTTTGTACAAACTATCATCCTGCTTGACGACGATCAGTGCTGTTGTTGTGCTATCTTGCTGTTATTACTGCCAGATATCAACATTAATATTGTATTGACACCATTTATCACTTCCATAAAGGCGCCAGGCAAAGATATTCTGACTAGATGTGACTGAGGTCCTGATCTAGAATGAAGGAAGCGATAAAAAGATCGGCCACCATATGGCAGTATGCATACGAACAATTTAATCTTCCATCCAGTAGGGC